CCTGTTTTTTTTTTTTTGAGATGGGGTGAGGTGGGACAGGGGAGAGAGTGGAAAGCAGGAAGAAGCTGATGAGGGAGAATACGTTTCCTCCTTTAGATTTTAACCCGGGTGATTACTTGTAAAAGTCGGGGTTGAAATGTTGAAAGAAGTACAGTTCTTGCAGCTCAGGGACAATGAAACCGGTGAATAGACCAAGGCCCATACTCCGCGTTGGCCGAGTGCTTGTTATAAGCCAGGCACTGTTCCAGATGCTTAATATGAGATGTTTAACTCATCTAATGTTTACAGCCGCCCTCTGAGGCAGGTACCACTATGCCCATTTTATAGGTAAAGAAACTGAGGCAGAGTTAGGTTAAGTAACTTGTCTGTGTCACATACCAAGATGTCATACTAAGGCTCCTTGGCCAGGACACCAATAGGAAAGGAGAGAGGCTGGGGCAGAGTATGAGGTGTCGGGTGGGCCTCAGTGGAGGGGCCAGCCTGCGGGAAGGCAGAGGCAGCCACCTGCACGCGGACAGACAGTTCTATCTAAGTGACGGGAGGAGGGGCACCTTACCAGAGCATTTGTTAGGGAGCCGTGGGAGATAAGATACTGTCGCACAGACGAAACAGGGCGGGGCCACGCGATGTGGTTTGCGAGTGGCATCTGTCCTTACGTTTGTCTGTTTCTGACTTGTTGGCAACACCATTAAAGATGGTTTGACGTTGAACTCTGCGGTTTGCATTGTGAAAAACGCACAGACGCCTAAACATCTGAGTAGGTGCACGGCTGTTGCGTGCGGGCTGAGGGAGGAGGAGGCAAGCTTTAGAGGCTGAGCTGTCCACACTAGGCCCTGTGCAGGCAGGGGGTCGTGCCAGGGGATGGCAGCGGGGCTCAGTCCCTCTGCTGGTCCCCGCTGGAACCTGGGGAACCGGGGGAAAATGTCTGGGAGCCGCGCAGCTATTTTAACCAGAGCTCAGTGAGTTTCTGTCAATTTCTGGCAAACTAGCAATTCCAGCCAGATCTTGCTGGTAAATGTCTTTTTATTTCTGCTGTGCAGCTGGTCACAAAAGGTCTGAGGGATAATTTTTGGATGAGAACATAAATCCTGGAGCTAAACCAGTGTATACTCAATAAGCTACATTCTTATTTCCTCTGCTTGCTGCTGGGGTCCTTTTAGAATTTTAACCATCTTTGATTTTATATGGATACAGGAGTAGAAAGGCAAACTACATTTGTGAAGATGCCAGAACTCAACAACTCCACAAAGGGACATGGCTTTTGCTCTACAGAAACAAAATGGTTTTTACTCTTAAATAACAGACTATATATAAAATACACTTCAAAACTGAATGCCCAGGGAATTTCTCTTTTATGCAACTCCTGCTTATGGAGTAAAGATCTATACCTAGAAGAAGAAGAAAAACTAAGGCTTACCCTGCGCGAATGCTTCTCAATTTTGGCTGCTCGTGGGAATCTGAGGAGCTTGAAACAAAACAAACCCAAACAAAACACAACACACAAAAAGCCAAACCACTGATGCCTGGGTCCCATCCCCAGAGGTTCTGAGTTAATTTAATTTGTCTGGGGTGAGGCTCCAACAGCAGCATTTCCAAGGCTGCCTCGTGATTCTAATGTGCAGCCAGAATTGAGCATCATTGGTCTATGTTCTCTGCCGGACCAAAGTCTTCTCAGACAGAAGTCGAGATCTGCACATGAGAGAGAGTGTGCGTGTGTGTGTGTGTGTGTGTGTGTGCGTGTGTGTGTGTGTGTGGACATAAATGTACTTGCGGGTGTAATGGCAGCTGAGAGAGTGGTGGGAATTCACACTCAGCCTAGTATTACTGCAGGAACATGGAAGTAATACACACACACACACATATGTCCATGCTGTCTTAATTAGTCCCTGCTGGTTGTCTGTTCACACAGCAAGAGAAGGGATGCCAAATGTCTGGGATTCCGGCCCATTTCCACTCCCTGTTGGTTTCACAGGAATGAAGACAACAGGTGAGAGGGCCTGGAACAGCACCGCCAGCCAGCATCCGCACACCGCTTCACGGGCCATCCAGCCTGTGCATAGATGATACCGCTTTGTCCTCACAAGGCTGAGATTCATTTTCTTCATTTTAGAGAGAGAACACCCGAGACTCAGGAGCAATGAAGTGTCCTGTCCCAGAACACATAACTAAAATTACTGGATGCCAATATTCTAACCCAAACCTTGTGATTTCAACTCTTCTTAAAATGTACTCTACTTCCTGCATCCACCCTGGTCCTGCCCCGCATGCCTCAGGTGAGCAGGCATGGGGGTATGGAGGGAAGGGGCACGTGCTATCTCCCTGGGGATCAGGACTACAGGGAACAGGGCCAATTGTGCTGATTTTTCCTTTGCACCCCATGGAGGGTCAAATGAAGCAGAAGACTGCCTTGCCTTTGAGCACCCTGCACTGGAGACGCAAACACGGGCCGTGGGCCAGGTATGAAGTCATTGTCAAGAGAAGAGATTCCAGGCAACTTAGTTCCAGCCTTGGCTGTCTCCTTGACCCTGCACAGTACGATCCCATGATTCCAGACCTTTTTCTTCCTCTTTAAATGTCAGCGATATTATAACTAAAAAGTAGCCAGACAGAAAGAGCAAAAGGCCAAAACATATAAAGATTCTACAGAACACAACTTAGCTAGGTCAGGTTTGACCTAGAGATGCGCTAACCGCCTCAAAGAAGCTCCACGTTTTCTCGATGTTCCCAGACTCTTAAGAAAATCGCCATCGGGATGTAGTCTCATTTCCTGTCTCGCTACTTCAGGCACTTCTAAAAGAGATTGTTGCTCATGTTACATATTCATGCGCTGGAATCCGAATTCAAAACGCTTAACACAGAAATAAACCAGCAGAGGAAAATTCCAGGGAGCTCGATAGTAAAGCATTTCACAGAGGCAAAACAAGTTTAGGAAAATATGAAAAGGCCAAGTGAAGTTTTTGAGGTAGTTAGCATTCAGCACGCGAGCGAAGAGCTTGGGCCAAATACCATAATCGCGTTTATGCTCCATTTTCCCCTTAAGACAGATATTCAAATTTCGGCGCGAGCCACGCGGAGAGGTTTGCAAAACTATCTGCTAAAAAAGAGGCAGTTTGCCTTATTCTCCAGCAGTAATAATGCTTTGCCGCTTAGAGGGCTAAACTAGTAACAAGACCACACATCTGCACGAGGCATATTTCACACCGAACATTTCCAGCTGCTAAACAGAAGTAAACGAGCCCACTGAGGCTGGGGCACAAGTCTTGTTAACGATACGAAACAATCCTGAGGTCTTAGTCATAACGATACTTCGAGCCTCCATAAGAAGGATCAGAGGACTTCAAATTAAAATATAATGAATAAGTCTAAGCTTCTCCCCTGAACACTTGCAAATGAAGACTTCCCAGGGTGCCCTGAGGGCCTGGTGTCACCCCTTCCTTCGCCGGCCTTCCCACCTCACCCTTGTCTATTTCGAAGGGATCCCTGTGCGCAAAAGGATGCGGAAATCCAGCGAGTAGGAGCATCAAGTTGTTTATGATGAACGTTTCTTCAGTAAGCTGGATCCCTTATAAAAAGAGTATAATGAATGAGGCCATTTGAATATTAACCGGGCTGCTCATTTCATGCATCTGATATGTTGGACTGGTGTTGGCTAATTGTGTGGTATCTAGAGGTCAGATAAGTTTTTTTTTTTAAAAAAGTCTCAGCAGATTTGATCTTCTCTTCACCTAGTTAATGTGACTTACCTAGGAAGGCAGCGAGGGGCCTGAGTTTTTGAAGCAGACAGCTCAGCTCTGCCACTCACCAGCTGCCCATTGAATGGAGATGACAACGCTTACCTCACTTGATGGATGTGAGGATTAAATTGAGCCAATGCATATAAAACCCCATACACAGTGCTTCACATAAGATAAATGCTTGATAAATACTAGTTAATGTGACTTACCTAGGAAGGCAGCGAGGGGCCTGAGTTTTTGAAGCAGACGGCTCAGCTCTGCCACTCATCAGCTGCCCATTGAATGGAGATGACAACGCTTACCTCACTTGATGGATGTGAGGATTAAATTGAGCCAATGCATATAAAACCCCATACACAGTGCTTCACATAAGATAAACACTTGATAAATATTAGTTATGTTTCTCTTTCCTCCGATTTTGGTCTAACTTGGAGTGACTGAGGCAGACGCTCAGTTCCTTTTATCATGACATAGCATTTCTTTTAGTGAGTACAGATTTCCACGAGGAGTGCTTAAAATAGTTTGTGTTCACACGTTCTCACCTTCCTTAAACTCAGGTCTATGTTAATTCATCACATGGTATTTCTGTAGTTCTCACTGATAGCAGTTAATATTCTGGGTAGCCCTGAATTCTATCGTAATGTTTTTATGAATGAAGAAGGATCATTCCAATGAAATAGGTGATGTCAGAAATTCTGTGAACTGAGGCAGAAACAATAAACAAACAGAATATGGTTTCCCTTTTCATTCTCCATCCTTGGTCATTGATTCTGTCCCCTTCTCTGAGTTAGGTGACATCTGACTTATTCCAGAGTAGGAAGACTCCATCATGGCTCTTGGGTGGTTCAACGCCCAGAGACTCAGCATCTACCTATGAACTTGGCTAAGCAGCCTCTCGATCCTTCTCGATGACCTCAAGGGTGGTGCCTCTCCTCAGATAGAACCGGTCTCTGATTTTTCTAACCGGGCTACCGTTTCATGTGACGGATATCTTGAACTGGTGTTGGCTAATAGGGTGGATATCTAGAACTCTCTCTGAGAACACCATCCTCTTTAACTAGAAGAAGCCTGAGCAGTGAGGAGGGAGGCTAGTTTGGACCAGTGAGACAATTCTCAGTCAGGGGAGAGGTGTCATAGTGAACATTCCACAATCGCTATGGAAAACTTACTTATACAGACATGTACATTATTTTATATGTTGAAAACCTTTTAAATGAGAAATGGAGATGCACGTGGGCAGTGGTGAAGCAAAGCGGAGCCACTCACCTGTCCAGGTTGTTCGCAGGCTGTCTGGTACCTGGACTGCTGGCATAGCTCTTTGACCCTCTCATATTTGGGCAAGTGATTTGACTGTTGGATATTCTTGCTGGAGTCTTCCTTCTTACGTAGAAATTTCCTTTGACAGAAAGAGAAAAGCTTCTTATGTGAGAAACGATCTGAGTTACCTTCCCTGAGACCTACCTGCCTGTTCTCTTTCTCTTCCCTGTCACATGACTTCCCATTCTTCAAAGAGCAAGAAATAGATGTTAAGGCTCTAACCACAGGGGTTCAACATTTGATGAGTTCTTTGTGACAAGCCAGGTATTATAAAGATGAGAACTCAGGATAGGAAAAATCATTTTCCTGCAAAGCATTAATGTCAAAACTTTGGACATAAATGTTTAGCTTTATAGGCTCAAAATTCTTTTTGCTAAAAAGCAATTATAGAAATAATTTCTTTCAATGTGTGTATGGAGAAAACCAAAGACAATGAGCATTATAAATCAAAAGGGGAAACCCAGAAGTAACTACAGAGATATTTATAATCTCATATATTTGTATATTTAAAACTAAGAAAGGCACATAAGGAAAAGAAGTAGAAAGATGTCAGGTAGGATTTGGAAAGGACGGTTAAGAAAGTCGATGGACTGGTTAAGTTTCAAGGCTGAGAAATGCAGCATTGAAATCCATAGCCATATAAAGGCTTTGGTGTCTTTTAGAATTTATTCTTTGCAATTCTGATGCAACGATATTTAGCCTGCTGGCCAGCGTTTTAAACAATGACTAGCAAATCGTTCATCTCGTTACTAGGCTTACAAAATCTGCATGCTTAGTAAACCAAAACAAGGGGGAAAAATAGTCAGCAGCGAGAGCTGCCCACTAGGACCGGTTCCCAGAAGTGGCCCAGGGACCAGTAATTACCCTCTCTCCACGAGGAATGTATCCCGCCAAATTTTGGCCTTCTTGTTTGTGCGAAACCTGCAAGCAAAATAATAATATTTACAGTTGGCATCTGGACGTTTTTCCCAGCGGATCTGTGCTAACGGTTTATTTAAAGGAACACCTCTCACTTCCCACAGCCTTGTCTGCGTCTCCATCAACACGCTACACACAAACAACTGAGAAATTCTCGGCTCGGGGGGACGCACGCCAGCCTCCACCTCTTTCAGATGCTGGCTGCCTCTGGGTGCCAGTGTGCCTGGGACGGGCAGAGGGAAAGAAAATGGCCATACCTGTTACCTGGCTTTTCCAGGTCCAGAAGTTTGAGGACAGACTTGCCGTCCACATCGGGAGGTGGGTCGAGCCCAGCGATGTCCAGGATCGTAGGTGCCAGGTCGATATTTAGAACGATCTGCGGGACTCTGCAAAGGGACAGATGGTTAGGTCCCAGACCCGGCGCCAGTGGAGAGTAGCACTAAGGACAGTTTTCTCCACAGCACGACTCACTGGCTTTCAGTGCCCCTCCCCCGTCTCCTGGTCGCCTATGGAGAGTAGGCTACATTTGGCAGGGTGGCTGACTGGTCAGCAGTGATGGCACAGAGCAAAGTTAACTGTCTGTCACAGTCGGGGTTGGAGTGATGTCCAGACCCCTGAGCTCTGGCCAGACTGTCAGACAAACTCTGACACACGGTTTTTCTAGGGAGCATACTCTCTTCCAAAACCCGATGGCCTGTAACTCCTCTGTTGAACTAAGGCTTTAAATCAATCTTCGAGGAAGGACCCGGGTTTTATAGTTGGTCTTTCCAACACAAAGCCTTCTGACTCTAGTTCCGACTATCCCTAAGGTGTTTGCAACGCCCTGAAGAGACATAATAACGCTCTCCACAGAAGCCCTCCCTCCTGTCACTGCCTTCTCCCCGGGAGGCACAGAGACGAGACTCTGATGTCCAGGTTCTGGGCCAGACGCTGCTGCTTCGGGACTGGGGGCGCCTACAGAGGTACGCACGCTACCCCCTGAGCTTCCTCACTGTTAACTCTGGGGTCCAGGCTACCTTTTCTTTAAGGACCAGCTTTTGAATTCTACTCGCATTCTTTACTTTCCTTCTTTCCGTAAGTGTTTCATGTACGCGATCTCATCTCATACAAAATGCTCTGTCGCGGCAGGCAGGGCGTACGAAACAATGAGAAAACAGAGATGCAAAGGGACGCAGTGGCTTGCCCAAGGTGACAGAAATAGAACTCCAGTCCTTCAGGCCTCTTTTAAAAGAAAATCATGCTTTTTAAAAATTTAATTAAAAAAATTCTTTAGGAATAATTAAAACAAAAAACGAAGCAGAAGGCACTCAAGATGAGATCCCTACAGATCACATTCTGCATCGTACACGGCCCATGTAACATGGAGTCTGGCCAGTTTGAGAAAATGAATCACTGATACAGTTGTTTTTCCTTTCTCTTTAAATAGTATACTTTAGTTAATGTAACATGTGGTGGGGGGCGGGGCGGGGTATAGGCTTTCATCTTCTAAATTACCAACCTACATACCCCGCTTTTTTTGTTCTGGATGAAAAGCAACCAGACACTGAGCTCCGTAATCAAATTATGTCCGACGTACATGAGCTACGACGGCTGAAGGCCGCCGACAAAGAGATACGTACACTGAGCCTGGTTCTACGCTCGGGCCACGAATAAAGAAAGGCACGCGGATGTCAAAATCATACGGCATGGATTTGCCCTTGACCAGTCCGAACTGCCCGATGTGGTAACCGTGGTCGGCGGTGTAGATGATGTAGGTGTTTTCCAGCTCCCCCGTTTCCACCAGCATGTTATACAGCTGAAAGACAGCATGGGGACAAGTCAGAGTGACTGCGATGGCCGAGATGACGACGGTGCGACTTCTCCCAAATCTTTTTTCCATTATT